GAAGCTGGTTTGCTGTACTGCCCTTACTGCCCCTGTACAGCGCCAGTGAGAGTATGTACTATGTATCAGTAACGCTCACTCTCTTGCTCCTCTCTCAGGACCCCGGGGAGCTGCGCTGTCCCTCAGTGCCCCTGTCCCAGACCAGCCGCCTGGTCAGCCGCCTGATTGAGGTCCTGCCCGAGACTCATGGCCAGTACAGCCTGGCCCTGCACCTGCTCGAGGCCGTGGAGGTCCTGGACACTGACACCTGAGCAGGGGGGAGTGGAGAGGGGGACAGAGGCAGCAAGGGGCAGAGAGGAGGAGGAGGAGGAGGGAGAGGACTGCTGCAGTTTGGAGTGGGTGGGGGCCATGGCCACACCTGCCCCTCCTCGTGGTGGAACGTGTGGGGCCTGCAGTCACGTCCTGCGAGCTGTATGCATCGGTCAGGGGGGAGCCTGAAGCCGGCCTTAAAAAAAAAATACGTGCCAGCTGTCTCCTCTGTTAGTTGATGGGCATGAGATTTTTGTATACTTTATTCCTGTCTCTGTCTATCCCTGTACTCTAAGACTTAAATGGTGTATTATATAAAAATATTCAAACGTTTCCTTGATTGTCTTCTATATTTATATACTGTAAGAAAGCTGTACTGTCATTGCGTCTGAGAATAATGTAGAGAACAATACTGCAGCTAACATCGTATACTATATTGCACGCTACACAATACACAAGATTGCAGAACATGATACTGCACCTAGATGAGTATAACAGACTACAGGCCACGCCGGAATACTGTACAGCACACTAACACGAAGTTGATTCAAATTTTATTTGGCTTTCTTTGGAAAGGGTAAACTCTATATACATAATATAGCCACAGAATGTATGCACACGTTGAATGTATAGACATCACACAGGAACCTTAACCACCTCTGATCAGACACCTTTTCTGTATTATACATAAAACAGGCACATTACAGAGCTGTGTGTCTGGGGGGGTGTTGCTCTCAGCAGCCAATCACACCCTCTACTGCACCAACACTGTCCATGCATGTGGAGGCACTATCTCCTAGCAGTGCTCACTCTTCCCGCCCTGGCCTGATTGGCTACGTCAGTCGGCAGAGCTCCTGCCCGGGCTGGGGGAGGAGACTGCTGTCAGCCTATCAGCAGTGCTCACTCTTCCCGCCCTGGCCTGATTGGCAGAGCTCCTGCCAGGGCTGGGGAGGAGACTGCTGTCAGCCTATCAGCAGTGCTCACTCTTCCTGCCCTGCTGGGATTGGCGACGTCAATGCGCAGAGCTTCTAGAAGGACCAGGGTGCAAGACAGAG